ACACGTCTTCCCGATGACCCTCCTCGCCACACTTGCGCAACAGGTCTTGCGCTTGACGTCCCGCTCACCGGTACGGACGGCAAGATCCAAGACGAGTAGGCCGAGCTGCTTTTCGACGGCCCATGTCTTGGCGATGTTCAGCTGCATGGATTCTGTCCACGTCCTTTTGCGCTCTTTCCCGAACTTATCCTCGATCGCGGTGGCGACCACCTCTGAGGCCGCATCCTCATCTAAGTCATGAGTTTCGATAGCTGCGAGGAAAGCCATGGCGTCCTCCCAGTGAATTTCGAAATCGTCATCCAACGTTTCCTCATGGCTCGCAGGCGCCTCGATCTCTTCTCCCACGAATGCTTCAAGACTAGCTGAGGCGCTGCGGGCAAAATCCTCTTTTCTCCTACGTCAAGCTGGAAGATGGCTGACCGGATCGACGCTGCATCGGCACGGCGTCCTACCGAGGTTTTCATGTTGCTTTTGATTTGCACTGAGAGTTGGCCCCCTCTTCCAGAGATCTAGACTCCACCTACCTGATCAGGAAGAGGTCGTCCTCGCAACTCGGCTTCGGCCAGCTGACTGTTCCGTCGCAGCACGCAGTCGGCAACCGTCTCTCCTCGTCGGATCACGCAGTCGAAGAGCGCAGAACTGTGAGAACGACGCAGGCTGTCGCCCGACACACACACACACACACACCCAAGGATGCGATAAGAGAGTCTAGAGACCATCCTCGGCCTCGGCGCGGCGCACCCAGCTCGGGCGCGATGTGGCCGACTTCCTGAACGAAGGGCAGGCGTGGCGTCGTCCCAAGTAGGCTGAGGTCGGGCCTATCCCCCTACAGGGGGATGCTGAACGAAAAAATACAACTGCCCCAATAATGCCCAAAAATCTTCAACACATGCTCAGAAAATCGTCCGCTGACTCTGTTTTTACTATTCTTGCATACTCCTCCTGCAGAGGGACAGGCCCGACCGAAAAGCAGGGCCCCGAACCTCCACTCACGCATCCCCTCCTAAGCGTAAGTCGGGCATGTCCCTCTACAGGGAGAATATACAAAAATAGTCAAAAAAATAGTCTGGGGACTATTTTTTGAGCATTTTTTTACCATTTTGGAATATATTTGCAAGATCTTCTCATCTAAGTCATGAGTTTCGATAGCTGCGAGGAAAGCCATGGCGTCCTCCCAGTGAATTTCGAAATCGTCATCCAACGTTTCCTCATGGCTCGCAGGCGCCTCGATCTCTTCTCCCACGAATGCTTCAAGACTAGCTGAGGCGCTGCGGGCAAAATCCTCTTTTCTCCTACGTCCAGCTGGAAGATGGCTGACCGGATCGACGCTGCATCGGCACGGCGTCCTACCGAGGTTTTCATGTTGCTTTTGATTTGCGCTGAGAGTTGGCCCCCTCTTCCAGAGATCTAGACTCCACCTGATCAGGAAGAGGTCGTCCTCGCAACTCGGCTTCGGCCAGCTGACTGTTCCGTCGCAGCACGCAGTCGGCAACCGTCTCTCCTCGTCGGATCACGCAGTGAAGAGCGCAGAACTGTGAGAACGACGCAGGCTGTCGCCCGACACACACACACACACACACACACACCCAAGGATGCGATAAGAGAGTCTAGAGACCATCCTCGGCCTCGGCGCGGCGCACCCAGCTCGGGCGCGATGTGGCCGACTTCCTGAACGAAGGGCAGGCGTGGCGTCGTCCCAAGTAGGCTGAGGTCGGGCCTATCCCCCTACAGGGGGATGCTGAACGAAAAAATACAACTGCCCCAATAATGCCCAAAAATATTCAACACATGCTCAGAAAATCGTCCGCTGACTCTGTTTTTACTATTCTTGCATACTCCTCCTGCAGAGGGACAGGCCCGACCGAAAAGCAGGGCCCCGAACCTCCACTCACGCATCCCCTCCTAAGCGTAAGTCGGGCATGTCCCTCTACAGGGAGAATATACAAAAATAGTCAAAAAAATAGTCTGGGGACTATTTTTTGAGCATTGTTTGACCATTTTGGAATAGATGTGTAAGATCTTTCATTTTTCGCCTCAAATCCCTGAACCTCCCTGGGTATGTGGTCGTCCTGTCTCTCGACCGTCGGCATGTATGGCCGACGGCTGCACGACGCTTTGAATACCCCTCGTCCGAATGGCCGATCTGGAACCCTGGACATGATCGTCCGCGTGCCCGCTCTCAACCAAACGCTCCGCTTACCATTGTAACGAGTTCGGCGAGCTCTGAATCTGATGAATGAAACAAGCAACAGTAGCAACAGTAGTCACAACAACTGTATATGTTGAATGTTGTTCAATACGCAAGTGTAAACATGTTGAATGTTACTTCGGTACGCGACAGTGGTCACATTAAGTCCAGCGCGAATTGCGTCCTCTAAGCCGAACCGACTATAGATACGTCGAGTACGAGTAGGGAGAGGAAGAGAACGAGGGCAGAGACACACCCCACGCTATTGGAAGGACATTGGGGCAACTCTTCCTTCCTCCTCCTCATCCTCCTACTCATCCTCATCCTCATCCTCCTCCTCCTCCTCCTCCTCCTCCCCATCCTCCTCATCCTTATCCATTCCTGTCCCCCGTTATATGTTGCGAAGTTGTTGATCATGGCCCGACGTTGTTTCGCGACGCTTGCCCGACTTCTGCATATCTCGCAAACTCTCTTCTGCATATAGAGAAATCGCATAAATAATCGAATCAAGTGCTGGGTACGTCTCGGGTGATGTCTCGTCTCCCTACTCCCGACACCCTCCCGCTGCTCATCCTCTTCCCCCTCCTACCACATCCTCCCAACTCCCCCTCCGAAAGTACAGGCCCCTGTGAGATTAACTCCTCATCGTGTTCCTCCTCTTCGTGCTATCCTCTTCATCCTCCTCTCCATCGTCCTCCTCCTCCGCCTCCATCTCCTCCTCCTCCTCCTCCGCCTTCTCCTCCTTCTTCTCAGTATCAGCATCAGCATCATCATCATCATCACCATCATCGTCATCATCAGCATCATCATCATCATCATCATCATCATCATCATCATCATCATCATCATCATCACCATCGTAATCATCAGCAGCAGCAGCATCACCAGCATCATCAACATCATCATCAGCATCATCATCGCCATCAGCAACTTCATCAGCAGCAGCTTCATCAGCATCATCATCATCATCATCATCATCAGCATCATCATCATCATCAGCATCATCATCATCAGTATCGTCAACGTCATCAGCATCATCACAATCAGCATCAACACCATCATCATCAGCATCATCAGCAGCAGCATCATCAAGAACAGTAGTACCAGCAGCCGCCTCATCACAATCGTAATCATGATCAGCATTAGCATCATCAGCAGCAGCATCACATCATCATCAGCAGCATCAGCATCAGCATCGCCACCATCATTACCAGCAGCAGCAGAAGCAGCAGCAGCATTAGTATCGGCATCACCATCAACAACAACAGCATCAACATCATCAGCATTATCAGCAGCAGCTTTGCCACCAGCATTATCAGCAGCAGCAGAAACAGCAGCGGCATTAGCATCGCCATCATCATCACCATCATCATCAGCAGCATCATCAATACCATCATCATCATCATCATCATCATCATCATCATCATCACCATCATCATCATCATCATCATCATCATGATCATCATGATCATCAGAATCATCATCATCGTGATCATCATCATCGTGACCAGCAACATCATTGTATGCATCATCAACATTATCATCAGCACCATCACCATCATCACCATCACCATCACCGTCATCATCATCATGATCATCATCAGCATCACCACCAACATTACCAGCAGCAGCAGAAGCAGCAGCAGCGTTAGTATCGTCATCATCATCAGCAACAACAATCACATCAACATCATCAGCAGCATCATCAGCATCAGTATCAGCATCATCATAAGCATCAGCATCGTCATCAGCATCATCAGCATCATGATCATCACCATCATCAGCAACAGCATCAGCATCATCATCATCGTCATCGTCATCGTCATCAAAAACATCATCATCAACATCATCACTGTCAGCATCATCAGCATCACCATCATCAGCAGCAACAGCATCCGCATCATCGTCATCGTCATCGTCGTCATCATCATCATCAGCATCATCATCACCAGCATCATCACCACAGCCACCACTACCACCACCAACAACCCAAGAATCAGCAGCATCGCAATCAGCATTATCATCATTATCATCAACATCACCATCAGCAGCAGCATCAGCAGTATCAGCAGCATCATCAGCATCATCATCACCATCAGCATCCTCATCCTCATCATCAGCAGCATCACCATCAGAATCAGCATCATCATCAGCATCATCATCATCATCATCATCAGCATCATCATCATCATCATCATCATCAACATCATCATCATCATCATCATCATCATCATCATCATCATCGCCATCGTCATCGTCATCGTCATCAGCATCATCATTATCAGCATCATCAGCAGAAGCATTATCATCATCCTCATCCTCATCCACATCCTCCTCATCACCAGCGTCATCATTAGCAGCAGCACCATCACCATCACCATCACCATCATCAGCATCAGCATCATCATCATCACAATCATCACCAACATCGTCACCATCATCATCCCATCATCATCATCATCAGAATCATCACCATCACCATCACCATCACCATCATCATCATCATCCCATCATCATCCCATCAGCAGCATCATCATCGTTGTCATCATCGTTGCCGTCGACGTCATCGCGGTCATCTTCGTAGTCCTTGCCATCATCACCAAGATCAGCATCTACATAACCATCAGCGTAAACCTCAATCACCATCAGTCGATACCACAACCATCAGCACCCCTGTTCCCAATTCCTGCCGCTAGTCCTTCTCCCCCTCCCCTGCCCAATTCAGCTCCTACGAATCCTCATGATCCTTCTATTGTTGCGTATATCCATCCTCCATCATCTCCTCCCCGTCCTTATTCCCCCTTCTCCCCGCCTGCGGCTGATGTTGCACCCGTACTTCGTGAAGACCTCTGAGCAGGCGGCTGAGATAGGCTACTATCGAAAAAGGCGGGTGAGGGAGCGGGCTGGACACAGAACACACTCACACACACACACACACCTACACACTCTCCACCACAAGGACTAATCACCGGCCGGTCTTGGATTAACGGGGACTGTCCGAGACGTGACCAACCCCTTCTCAACGAAAGGCGACTATTAAATGGAGAGATCTTCAAAAACAAACACATTGAGAGATAGGCAGTTCTCTTGCGCACGAAAATACAGACAGTTGTGCTGTTGGCAGCCTCGCTGTGAGCCGCGAGAGTTCCTATGGGTAGGCGTGCCCCGAGACTCCGCTGGACCTCCAGCAGCCCACCAATGTGGTGACAGTTGCCCAGTTCGCAACCACCCAGGGAGCAGCGAGGTCTCGCCTGGGTCCGCCCCCGATTCCGCTGGACCTCCAAGGAGCCCGCGAAAGTGGTGACAGCTGTGCAGTTCGCAGCCACCCAGGGGGCAGCGAGCCCTCCTAGGGGTCCGCTTGGCCACCGCCTCCGCCAGACCTCTCAAGAGCCAACATAACCCGCGACAGTTGCGCAGTTCGGATTCACCCAGGGAGCAGCGAGGTCTCGTCTGTGTCCACGCGGCCCCCGACTTCGCTGGACCTCCCAGGAGCCCGCGAATGTGGCGACGGTTGCGCAACTCGCGGCCACCCTGGGAACAGCGAGGTCTCGTCTGGATCCGCGTGGCCACCGACTCCGCTGGACCTCCCAGCAGCCCACGAAAGCGTCGACATCTGCGAAGTTCGAAGCCACCCAGAAAGCAGCGAGGTCTCGTCTGGGTCAGCGTGGCCCCCGCCTCCGCCGGACTTCACAGGAGCCCACGAAAGTGGCGGCAGTCGCGCAATTCGCAGCACCCCAGAGAGCAGCGAGGTCTCCTCTGGGCCCAAGAGGACCCCGACTCCGCCGGACCTCCCAGGAGCACACGAAAGTGGCGACGATTGCGCAATTCGCAACCACCTGGGGAGCAGCGAGATCTCGTCTGGGTCCGCGTGGCCCCCGACTCCGTTGGACCTCCCAAGAGCGCACGGAAGCGGCGGCAGTACAGTTGCGCAGTTCACAACCGCCCAGGGAGCAGCGAAATCTCGTCTGGGTACGCGTGGCCACCGACTCCGCTGGACCTCCCAGGAGCCCACGGAAGTGGCGACAGTACAGATGCACAGTTCGCAGCCACTCAAGGAGCAGCGAGGCCTCGCATGGGTCCAAGTGGACCGCGACCCCGCTGAACCGCGGACCTCCCAGGAGCCCACGAGTGTGGCAACTCGCCGACGAAAGCGGCCCATGAAACTGGCAACAGATGCGCAGTTCGCAGCAGGGAGCAGCGAGGTCTCATCTGGGTCAGCGTGGCCACCGACCCCGCCGGACCTCCCAACAGCCTACGAAAGTGGCGACCGTTGCGCAACTCGCAACCCCCAAGAAAGCAGCGTGGTTTCGTCTGGGTCCGCATGGCCCCCGACTCCGCTGGACCTCCCAGGAGCCCACGAAAGTGGCGACGTTTGCACACTTCGCCACCCAGTGAGCAGCGAGGTCTCGTCTGGGTCTGCGTAAGGAAAAGGCAGGAGGATGGGGGAGGCAGGAGAGGAGGAGGAGGAGGAGGAGGAGTAGACCACAGCGATCTGCTTTAAAACAAGGACCCAACACAGGATGATTGGGACAAATTGCAATCACGACCGCGCTGGCGCCGAAGCCGTGTGATACCAAGCTGGGGGCAAGCCCCGGCGGGTAACATACACAAGTGCGTCCCCGCTGACGAAGTGAAGCCACTGTCGCGAGAGCACTGAAAAGGGATACTTTCAAGCTGATTTCACCCAACCTTGTGACTGAAAGAGAGGAAGGAAGCCCAAGCCCGCCGGCGCGAGGCCCAAACCGGAGGCCACCAAAGCGGGGTCCGAGTAGACCGGACTGGGGGATCGCAACGTATCGCCGATACATCGCCGATTCAGTACTGACGCATCGGCGACGTCGGCGATGCATCGGCGACGTCGGCGTGGAGAAAATCGGTCTCCACATCGAACCGTATCGCCGATGCATCGGCGAGGCGGCGCGATCCTCCGACCCCGTCTATGCGGCCACCAATCGGGAGGCCTGCGCAAGCAGCACCGACTACAAGAACAAAAACAATAACCTCGTCGTCGAGTCGCACTAGCCTCCCGAAGCCTCCGGAACCCCAACGAGGCCCCAGCAGCACTGACAAAATGAAGGGGCCCAGGAACACACAAATAAATGCACACAAATGCCAGGATTCTTATATAACTCACGTTTTCGGGAAGTTCCTCTTTCCCCCCACCTCCCATACGTTCCCATATGCTCCTGGGAATCAACGATTACTTGTGTCTGTTCCCTCTCCTGATAGAGGAACGCCCAAAAGCCGCGAGGCTGAATCGCAGCCGCCGTCGGCCGACGTCGCCGTCGTCCCTGTGTTCGTCGGGGGACGGCGCCGGTCCCGCCAGAAGCTGTCTCGCCGCCGCCGCCGCCTTCGCCGTCGTCGCACCACCAGCGGAGAAGGCGCGTGCTAGCCAACGGGTGGCAAAAAAACATGTACGAGGCGGGGATCTATCCATATCCACCGCCTGGAATGAGGTCGGGCATGTCCCTCGACGGGCGGATTTTGGCCGAAAAAATACAAAAACCCAAAGAAATACTCCCAAAAATGCTCAAAGGTAGTCCAACAGATCGTCCCTTGACTATTTTTTGGCTGTGTTTGAATATCCCTCCTGTAGAGGGACAGGCCCGACTTAATGCCAGTCAACGGGTAGCAAAACATCATGTGCGAGGCGGGGATTTATCCATACCCACCGCCTGGAAACCAACGCCCTGGCGCCCCAGCGGGCGGTGGATGTGGGTAGATTCTGGCCCCCGGGGGCCCGAATATGTCCATGCCCACTGCCTGTGGAGGCCCGCGAAGATCGACCCCCCAGGCGGTGGTTATGGGCAAATCGCCGCCTCGGAACACGTGGCGGACCCCAGGAATCCGGAATCCCAAAAACGTTGCCATCTCTCGGGGGGCAGACTTGCACTTCCGCCGGCTGCCGCCCGGCCTTCCGCCGCGGAGTCTTTCCGCCGAGGCGGCCCAGCTCTACTTCCGCCAGCCTTCGCCGACCCGCCGCCGACCTTCCGCCGAGGACGAGACGAGAACAGAGGGGCCACCGGCGAACCCCACCCCTGACCCCCACGACCCCTGACCCCCACGACTTCGGAGGGGGAGGGCGGGGTTCGCTTCGTTCGGGAGCTCCCGAGCGAACTGAACCCCGCCCTCCCCCTCCGAAATCGTGGGGGGTAGGGGCTGGGTTCGAATCAAGCTAGCCAGCTCGAGCGAGTCAAGCATGGCATGCCCATTCCCACCCGCCCTCCCACAACATAGGAAACAGTGATGGCACAACTGAGGGCTGCGCGCGCATTTCAGTGCGAGTGGTGGATACCCCAGGACACCGCATTGACGTCCGCGCGGGATGTGCGCCGCGTCCCAGTCCCGCCACGCGTTTCGCATCGCCGACGACAAGACTGGCCATGTTGAGTGGGTTCGAACGTGGCCCCCCTAGAGAACCCCTTCGCCCCTCGAAGGCGAGGCCCTGTTCTGGAACGCCCCTTGCGGCGGAGAAGCGCCCGCCTTCTCGTGCACCCCCTGGGCCCGCGGTGGCAACTCGGGGGGCCACTCCCGGGCATGCCTCCGTCGGCGGCGAGGCGGCGAACTCCGCTCCAGCGAGAAGCTAGAAAGGGGCACTGCACCCTGCGAAATGCTTAAGAAATCATGGGTTCAGAAATTCATAGTCTCAGAACTTGAATAAAAAACCCAGCATTTCCATCAAAATCTTGGGATTTACATTGAAAACTTAAGAATAATCGAGACTCTGGACGAAAACTTAGGTTTTCTTAAGCATCGCCTAGGGTGTAACTAGCGAACTGGCCGGTGGGCAAAGAGAGGGGGGTGGGGACGGCCGACAGGAAGAAGGGACGCTCCGGCGCCGAAGAGCTCGCCACCCCCCCAGACGTGCGCCGCCCTGATGGTTCCAGCAATCACGGGGCCCCTGGAAGTCCCGACCCTCTCCCCCGGACCGGCTCTTCATCCCGAGTCGTTCTGCTGACGGTCCCCGAGGCCCGGCGAGGGCCTCCCAAGGCCCGAGGACGGCCCAAAAGCCGCCGCCCTGACTCCTCACGGCGCGAGCGCGTCTGGGCGGCTCAGAGCCCCGTCGGGGCCACGGTCCTGCAATCATCCTCGACCCCCCCCGACGCTCACGGCCCCTCTCCGTTGCCGCCCGCCCGAGCATCGGCGATGGGCAAACCTCCCTTTAGCAGACCTCCCCTTCCTGCTGTAGCAGTTTCAAGAATTCTCCCTCCTCCTCCTCCCCTCCCCCTCTCCTCCCCTCCCCTCGACTCTTCCCTTCTCGGTCCTGGATCCTCGATCCTCCTCCCCTCCCTTCGATCCTCGATCCTCGATCCTGCCCTCCCTCCCCTCTCCCTCCCCTCCCCCCCCCTCGATCCTCCTCCCCTCCCCTCGATCATCCCCTCCCCCCCCGCTCTCCTCGCCCTCCCCGCAAGAATGACGGCCGCGACGCCCTCTCGCGAGCCGAAGACGGCCAATTCGCTGATCGACGTGTCAGGGCAGGAGGTCTGTGCACCTCCGAGCCCGCCCGAGAGGCGGCGGGGGGGCGGGGGCAGCGGACCCGGGCCGCGTCCGGGGCGGCGTCGCGGGCCGCGCGGAGGCCTGCGGCGCGGAGGAGCAGGGCGCGACACGGCCGAGCGAACGGCGGCGGGGCCCACGACAGGGGCGGCGCGAGGCGCGCGGCGTTTTGAGCAGGTGCGGGTGCTGCTAAGAAGGCGGAGGCGCCAGCTGTCCCAGCTTCAGGAGAGGGGGGGGGGGAGGGAGAGGGGGAAGGAGGAGGAGGAGGAGGAGGAGGAGGAGGAGGAAAAGGAGGGCGAGGAGGAGGAGGAGGAGGAGGAGGAGGAGGACAAGGAGGCGGAAAATGAGGAGGAGGAGGAGGAGGAGAAGGAGGAGGAGGAGGAGGAGGAGGAGGAGGAGGAGAGGAAGAGGAAGAGGAGGAGGAGGAGGAGGAGGAGGAGGAGGAGGAGGAGGGCCTCCCCATCCTCCCCTCCCCCGTCCTACCCATGGTAGCGGTGGTGGAGAATCGGCCCATCAGACCGGAGGGGCGCCGCGGGAACATGCGGGACGTAGAAGGACAGAGTGGCAATATGCGCCCCACTTGGAAGCGCAAGTCCGAGCCGAGCATCTCCGCCACCGTGCCCCTGGGGCACGAGTCGGGGGATCCTCGGGTCCCTTGTTCGATCCCCTGGAGCCCCCGTCCTCAGTCCACAAAATTTTTCACAGGGCCTGGACCCAAAATTCTCAAATGTTCCGGGGTTCCCCGCGCAGCCCCTGGGCCCCACGGGCCCAGAGGGCTCCGAGAGACCGCCGAGACGGTCCACGGGGGCCCCGAATCGCCGTAAGATCGGCCCAAGACGCCCAAGATGGCCCCAACATGACCCAAGAGGCCCCCAAGACGCCCGAAGGGGCCTCCAGGAGGCCTCCCGAGAGGACCCCAGGAAGGACAGGTCATTGACATTCCTTCAGTTGCTTGAAAGATTTTGGCATTCTCGCTTTTTCGGCTCCCCGACGCTCCAAGACGCCCCAAAGAGGCCCCACGAGGGCCTCGAAACGGCCCAAGAGGGCCCAAGAGGCCTCCAAGACGGCGCCTGCACCCCCCTTTGCCTCGGACCATCTTTGGTAAGGTGAGCAGCCACCGTACCAACCATAAGGCGATCCTCTCAGGCCATGACGCGCTTTTCTTCCCTGGCGACCATATGGCTGATTGCCTCGCTGGTGAGTGGGCTGCGGCGCACCAGCCTCCAGGCAACGAGGTTCGGCACCGCCTGCCTTGTCCAGCGGAGCCCGGGAGCAGTCATGGCTGGCTGTGCCCACCATGATCCCACTCGAGCGCCAGCGCGCGACAGGCCCGAGCCGCGCCCAGCCAAGGTCACTGGAGAGGCCAGGCTGACAGAAGCACTCGGCAACTCGGAACACCAAATGCAGTCGCCAAGAACGGCATTTCACGTAGCCGCCACACCCGTCGACGCAGCCATCACGCAGGTCACGTACCCGTGCGTCTCGGTCACTGCTTGGCGACACGTGGTGCCCGGTGCTGATCTCGTTGCGCAAGCAGCTAACGCATAATTCGTAAATATCATCAGTTGCTCTTCAGGCAGAGAATCTCCACCAAGTGTACAGTTGCTGCGCTCACGACCAACTGGACAAGCTCGCAGATGAGTGCAGCAAGCGTCTGTCGGGCAAAGGCCCCGAGAATTCACAGCGGCTCGAACGGGGCCTGATGCCTGGTACATCGGCCCGCGCCGTCGAATGTAATCGTGGGCTCCAAGCTCTCCGCGAGCCCAAAGGAGGCGTTGTCTTCAAAGATCGGAGACGGCGCCCAAGGGAGGCGCTGGGTCGTCGAGGGCCGTCGAGGAGGAAGGAGGGTGAGGAGAAGGAGGAGGAGCAGGAGGAGGAGGAAAAGAAGGGCGAGGAGGAGGAGGCGGAGGAGGAAAAGGAGGAGGAGGAGGGAGGAGGAGGAGAAAAGAAAGGAGGAGGAGGAGGAAGGAGGAGGAGGAGGAGGAGGAGGGGGGAGGGAGGGAGGGAGAAGAAAGGGATCGGCGCAGGGAGGCAGGGAGGCAGGGAGGGAGGGAGGAGGAGGTGGAGCAGGAAAAGGAGGAAGAGGAGGTCTGCTCCTCACCACGAGAGGCGGGCAGGGGATCCCGCGCTGCCGCCTGCGCGCCTGCGGGCCCCGCCCCTCGAGCTATGGGGTGGAACAGGGCTCCCGAGCACCCGCCTGCGGGCCCCAACCTGGCATGCTGCTGCCGTCGGGCCCCGCCCAACGACAGGCTCCGCCTCCGCCTCCGCCTCCGCCTCCGCCTCCGCCTCCGCCTCCGCCTCCGCCTCCGCCTCCGCCTCCGCCTCCGCCTCCTCCTCCTCCTCCTCCTCCTCCTCCTCCTCCTCCTCCTCCTCTCCTCCTCCTCCTCCTCCTCCTCCTCCTCCTCCTCCTCCTCCTCCTCCTCCTCCTCCTCCTCCTCCTCCTCCTCCTCCTCCTCCTCCTCCTCCTCCTCCTCCTCCTCCTCACTCCTCCTCCTCCTCCTCCTCCTCCTCCTCCTCCTCCCTCCTCCTCCTCCTCCTCCTCCTCCTCCTCCTCCTCCTCCTCCTCCTCCTCCTCCTCCTCCTCCTCCTCCTCCTCCTCCTCCTCCTCCTCCTCCTCCTCCTCCTCCTCCTCCTCCTCCTCCTCCTCCTCCTCCTCCTCCTCCTCCTCCTCCTCCTCCTCCTCCTCCTCCTCCTCCTCCTCCTCCTCCTCCTCCTTCCTCCTCCTCCTCCTCCTCCTCCTCCTCCTCCTCCCTCTGCCTCCTCCCCCTCCTCCTCCTCCTTCCTCCGCCTCCTTCCTCCTCCTCCTCCTCCTCCTCCTCCTCCTCCTCCTCCTCCTCCTCCTCCTCCTCCTCCTCCTCCTCCCCCTCCTTCTCGACGGCCCTCGACGGCCCTCCACGGCCCTCCACGACCCAGGCACGACGACGGCGGCGGCAGCGAGCGCGGCGGCGGGCGCGCGCCGCGCCTCCTGCAGCGGGGCATCTTCCGCGGAGGACGGCGGCAGGCTGCCGTCCTGGGCCGCGCGCCGGCCGCCGCTGAAGGCAGCAAAAAAAAGCACCCTCGTGTCATGTTGTTCCCGTCCTACTTAAGGATCGCATCCCAGAAATAGTTTCGAGCACCCAGAGAAGTGTCACAAGAGTGTCGAAAGAGTGTCGAAACAGTGTCGGGCGAGTGTCTCCCAGGGCCCGGCACGTGAAAACCCTAGGAGTAGGTTGGAGCATCATAACCCTCGTGATGGGAGGAGCAACGTCGAGATTCGAGGCTCGAGGCCCGAGATCTTCGGGCGTTGTCGTACGCTCTCGGCGGCTGGCCAAGCCTCGCCACGCTCTCCGGCAGCTGCGCCTCGCCGAGGACGCTCGCCGGGGCGCCCAGGCTGCCCCGAGCGGCCGCTGGAGCGCCCAGCCATGACCGCAGGCCGGGTGCCGCGCTGTGTAAGGCTCCGGGTCGCGCACAGACAACGCCCCCCCCCCCCCCCGAGTGGCACCCTGAGAGCCGCAACCTGGCCTGCAGCGAGAGCCGTCGGGGGGAGGAGGAGGGGAGGAGGAGGAGGAGGAGGAGGAGGAGGAGGAGGGAGGAGGAGGAGGAGGAGGAGGAGGAGGAGGAGGAGGAGGAGGAGGAGGAGGAGGAGAGGAGGAGGGAGGGAGGGAGGAGGAGGAGGAGGAGGAGGGGAGGAGGAGGAGGAGGAGGAGGAGGAGGAGGCGGAGGCGGAGGTGGAGGAGGAGGAGGAGGAGGAGGAGGGGAGGAGGAGGAGGAGCAGGAGGGAGGAGGGCCCGTCTCCACACCCTGGCGCCGCCTCCGGCGCCGCCCCCGGGGCCCTGCGCCCCAGGGTCGGGGCGTTGAGGCCGCCACTGACTACTCGGGGGGGAGCCTGTTGAGGTAGGTTCGGCATGTCCTCCTACGGGCGGATTTCGGAGGAAAGATTACCCCCCCGCCCCCCCCAAAGAAGACCCCAACAGAGTCCAGAAATCATGAACAAATCGCATCCAGACTGTATTTGACTGTTTTTGAATATTCCTCCTGTAGAGGGACATGCCCGACTTAAGACTACCTGGGTGAGGCTGCCTGTGCGAAGCCCGGAGCCTCGCCACCTCAGAATGAAGTACCCCTACAAGCACAGCGAAGCCCTTTGGCAAACGCACCTCAGGAATCGATCGGGCAGGAAGTTTCAGTGAAGGCCCAAGACTGTTGAAAAAGCACCAAATGTATGGGGGTCGGGGTGTTGTTTCCTCCCGTGAGTCGTGGCCGCCGGGTTCGGCAGGTTTCGCAAGAGGGCGCAGGTCGGGCAAGCTCAGCCTCCACCTGCAAGATGCAGGGCGGAGAGACAAAAAGCCTCTCTCTCTATCCCTCTCTCTCTCCCTCGACGTTGCTGCCTGGGAGGGCCCCGCCTGTCGCCAGAGTCCCCTGCCGCCATCGCCCCTCCCCCTCCGCGCATCGTCCCCTGTCGCCATTCGCGCGTCGTGGCCGCCGCCGCCGCCGTCGCCGTCGTCGCGCTCTCCAGACCTCCTCCGGCCGTCGAGAGTCACGACGGGAGACTTCTCCTCGGGGGCGCGTTTGTTTCGGCAGCTGCGCCTCGCCGCGAGCGGGCCCAGGGTGCACGGGATCGCCCCGCGAGCGGCCCCCGGAGACCAGAGCTGTGACCCGAGAGCCACGCCTGCTCCCGTTGTCAGGAGAGCCCAGAATCGAGTCGATGCGTCGGATCGGCGGTCGAGAATGAATAGGATCGGCGGAGATCGGCAGCCAAGTCGGGCGACGTCGGATCGGCAGAGATCGGCGGGCTAGTGGGCCTCCATCGAGGAATCGGCACCCAGATCGGAATCGGAAGTCGAATCGAATCGGAATCGGAGGCCACCGAGATAGAATCGAATCGAATCGGAGGCATCGAGGTCAGCCCTGCGTTGTGGAGGGTCCCGCTGTGAAGAATCACGACGGGGGACTCCTACCACTTTGCGTGCTCTTGGCGGCCCTCCCGCGGGCCCGGGGCCGCTCAGCAACAGCAAGAGCCTGTTTTTTTGGATTCAGGCAAGTTTACTTGCATGGCGTTCGCCCCCCCCCCTCGCCCCTCTTCAAGCGAATACTAGCGTGCAAGTGCCTTTCGACTTGCGTGATTTCCGCGCCCCCCCGAACGTGCAAGTCGTTTGCGGCTTGCTTCAGGCTCAGCCCCCCCCGTCCATGCAAGTAAACTTGCCAAAGTCTAAAAAAACAGGCTCCAAGTTGCGGGGCGAAGGGCCGGTCCCGGGAGAACGGTCCAGACTCACTTGGCGGCCACGTGGAAGCAGAACATAGTGTTAAGTCGGGCCTGTCCCCCTACAGGGGGATTGTCGACGAAACATAGGAAATACTCCAGGAATATTCTAAAATGGTCAAAAAGTACTCAAAAAACAGCCCCCGGACTATTGTTTGACTATTTTTGGATCTTCCCCCTGTAGAGGGACGGGCCCGACTTCACGCTACGTAGTGGCATCGGCGTCAGCCGCCTGGACCGCGTGCCAGACTTCGGGCACACGCTCTCACGAACTACGGATGCGTGGATCTGGCGCGGGGGCCCCCGAAACACGAGGCCAATGCCGCCTCATGTGGCGACGGAGCGCACCGAGGGCAAACGGAAACGGGACCCGTCGCTAACCCGCACGCCGTGATCCATGTCTGTGCTTCCGTGGAAGAAGGATGGGCTGGCGTCCCCGAGAATCGGGCCCGATGCTGGCCCCCTGGCCCACGTCGTCCCTCTCGCGTGCTGCTGGTCCAAGCTCCACTCGCGGCGTGTGCCCTTTGCACTCCCTCCTGCTAGTAGGCCTGACCCTCCGGTGCTTCCCCTCTCCTCGTCCCCGCCCTTCATGCTGTATATGCGGCTCCCTGGGCTGAGATCGGTATTCCGTCGCGTCGCGCGTCAGTATTTAGATGGAGCACGGGCAGGCTATAGTTATCGTGCCAAAACACGGAGCGCTGGATCAAGAACGAGGCCCCTCTTCGACCCCAAAAGCGCCTGGGTGCACGAGGAGAGCGCTAGAGGAACAACCGTGAAAGAGACTAAGGAACAGCCAACCCCTTCCGAGCCCAAACTGCTCCTCGTTCCAACGTCTTGATCTAGATATCGTCGACGCTCTTTGCTAAATCATTTAGCGGGAGAAGCCCCCTCGCGGTGCATGAGGCACACGATAGCTTGTACTGCAGATCCACCCACAATAGCATTTGCATGGTCTCACTAAATTACAACCTTCAGATCGGTGCCCCCATCAGGAGACGGAACCACAGGGCCCAGCCAGCAACCACTTAGGCTGTCCATGCCGACCGCCTACGTCTCCTCCTCCTCCTCCCACCATCATCATCATCATCATCATCATCATCATCATCATCATCATCATCATCATCATCATTAGCAGCAGCAGCATCATGATCATCATCAGCATCGTCACCACCATCATCATCATCATCATCATCATCATCATCATCATCATCATCATCATCAGCATCATCATCATCAGCATCATCCTCATCAGAAACAGCATCAGCATCATCAGCATCATCAGCATCATCATCAACATCATCATGATTCATCATCGGCAGCAGCAACATCAGCATCAACATCATCAGCATCATCAGCAGCAGCATCATCAGCAGCAGCATCATCCTCATCAGCATCAGCATCAACATCATCAGCTTCTTCTACTTCATCATCATCATCAGCAGCAGCATCATCATCATCATCATCATCATCATCATCATCATCATCATCATCATCATCATCATCATCGTCATCATCATCATCATCATCGGCAGCAGCAGCAGCAGCAGTACCGTCATCATTAGCATCAGCATCAGCATCAGCACCAGCATCAGCAGCAGCAGCATCGACATCATCAACACCATGATTAACAGCAGCAGCAGCATCAACATCATCAACACCATCATCATCATCATCATCATCATCATCATCATCGTCATCATCATCAGCAGCAGCAGCATCATCATCATAATCATTATCATCGGCAGCAGCATCCTCAGTATCAGCATCATCATCAGCAGCAGCAACAGCATCAACATCATCAACATCATCATCATCATCATCATCATCATCATCATCATCATCAACATCATCATCATCAGCATCCCCGCGCACATCCCGCATCATCAATCCCGGCCCCTCCCACCTGGGGTACAGGCGTGGCGGAGGACGCGGCAAACGAGCGCTCCAGGTCTATGGCCTGCAACGCGGGCCGCGGACGGGAAGAGAAGCGCAGGGACGGGTTTGTTCTTAACACCTGCGGCCCTGAGCGGAGGAGGAGAAGGGCGAAATGAGGATCTCGGATCGAAGATCGTCTACGGAACACACGATCCACTAGGAAGCCCTGGCGGAGTGTACCTGCACTGGTTCAGCAAAGAGACGCCAGTCTGGTGCCTGGCTTGGCACGGATACAGCCGCCTTGGAAGATTGCACCTGTAACACTGCAACTGCAACATACTACTCTGGCGCCGGGCTTGGCAAGCATGAGGAACCTATCCAGCAGGTTTTGCAGATCTGCACAATGAGAGAGCATGCTCGACTGACGTGGCGACGTCGTGCTCCAATTACGCTGTTGAGCCTGTGGGAGTTCCTGGGCCGCCCACATCGCCACGGCTGGATTCGCCCTGAAATCCCACCAGCCCTCTGGGCGTGAGTGGTTTAGCGAGTTTCCTCTTCCATCTTTCCTCTTCCCCTTCGGGGAGGTTTTTATCATTGTTCCTTATTAATGCACACCCCCTCCCCCACCCGGCTGGCGGCCAACCAAGAACCATGCCGACTCCATGCGGGCCCGCCCCCCACCATCCGTCGACAAAACAATACAAACCGCACTCTGCCTCAACATTTGGAGCATGCGCGGCCAACCCGATGCGGCCCCCCCCACCATCCCTGTCAAAGAACACTGCACAACACACTTTGGGGCAAAGTCTTGAGGCATGTTCGTGAGGCCCGCGAGCATGTATTGTTTTTGACCGGGTCCGCAGGGGTGCCAGCATATTCCCTGCAGAGCGCAAGGCTACCCTCCAAAACAATACAACATGCACTTCGCGGCCAAATCTGAATCATGCGCGGCCATCCCGCGATCACTGTCAAGTGGTTTTTGACAGGGACGGCGGGGGTGGTGGCGCGTGGCCTGCTGTGCGCAGGCCCACCAGAAACAATGATGGACATTGGTTTTCGACAAGGATGGCGGGGGCCGACATATTTCCCGATGCGCGCTGTCACGTGCGCGGGCGCACCTGACGTACTCTGCTCGTGCCCCGAACATGGCGCGGCTGGAGTGTGCGGCACACCTGGCGCACTCGGAGCACGTGGCGCATCTGCCGCACCAGGTGTGCCTGGCACGCTCGGGCCCCAGGGGTGCCTGGCGCGCGCGGCACCCCTGGCACGCGTGGCGCACCTCGCCCAAGCGTCGCGCACCTGCGGTCGGCTTTGGTTTCCAGTAGCTGTCCACCCGAAGACGACCGCTGAACATGCTCAGGCTCGGGTGTTACTTATGTGTTGGGAGGGCGGGTGGGAGTGAGCTAGACGGTTTGCGGGCGGGTGGAAGCTTGATCCCTCCCCTTACCCCCTCCCACTGGGTCTGGACAGAGCGGCCTCCCTCCTCCACCTCCTCCTTCTCCTCCACAATTGCACAATCTGAATCCTACTCTCCTCTCTCCACTGATGACGACCAGGAGATATCTGGCCCCCCTCCGCGTACTGTTTTCTTACACACCGGATTCCCAGGAAACTGGTTCTTGCTTGGGCTTGTTTCAAAATGCTATTCCCGCTGAAGCGCTGGCCTCATGTTCGGGTTTCCGCTCGTTCCGAATCCTGCTCACACTGCAGCGCTGGCCTCATTTCCTCGCTTCCGCTCGGCTCGTTCCGAATCGTGCTCCCGCTGCAGCGCTGGCCTTCCACCCAAATACGTTGGCCCAAAAATCTAAAAACAACCACCCGAAAAGAACCATCGGACATGATTACACTTCGGTGTCGATTCGTTGATTTTTGGGGCCACAGAAGCCCCCCCCCACTTTGGGGCGTCGTCGTGTTCGGGAAGTGTCAAGCGGGAGCCCCGCTTCTGCTTTGAAAAGGCGATGTTGAAAGCAGAGCCAGTGGGTGCTCTCCATCAGCCCCGCCTTGTGTGGAGCATTTCGGGGAGCCCAAGGAGCTAGACACGACTCCAAACCGGCCTTGACCTCTCGAAGACGATCCACTTACCCTCCAAAGAACCTGGCGCCATGCCATGACATGCTGTGCGGTGTTGTGTTCTGCGCCGCTGTGCGATGCCATGCTTTGCGTTGCAATGCTTTGTGATGCAGTCCTTCACTGCGCAATGCATGCTACGCTCTGCCGTGCTCTTCTACGCCATGCCATGCCGTGCTCAACCATGCATGGCGTACCTTCTCGCGATCGCCGCCCTGCTCGACATCCTACTGTGCGAATAAGGGATGGGAGGGAGGGGCAGGACGCCAGACATGACGCGAGCGCAGCTAGCTCGTCCCCCCTGCCCCTCCCCCGATCCCTCGGGGAAGGGAGGGGGGGAAACGGGAGACAAGGAGCGTAAAACAGGGCTAGGATCGGGATAAATCGCTCCAGAGCGTTCCGGAGCGCTCTCAGAGCGTTCCGGAACGCTCTGGAGCGGCCGCGGCGCCCAATACATCCTCCAAGCCCGCCGATTCTCAGAGATTTCGGGTTATCCCGATCCGATGTTGTCCCGATCGTCGCGTCGTCTTAGAGCGGCGCCAGGGCCCCTCACGACCACGCCACGCCTCGGGGGGGTCTCCCCGAGCCGACGGGACGGCCCCCCCCGCGGGCCACGGTGGTGCCCGTGGGTGCGGGGGGGGGCGCTGGCGGCCTCGCCTCGGCCCGCGTCGCGGCGAAAGGAGCGCCAGCGCCGCGGGGCAGGGACGACGAGGGCCACAGCAAGGACGACGACGACGACGACGACGACGCCGACGCCGACGCCGACGCCGACGCCGACGACGACGACGACGACGACGACGACGACGACGACGACGACGACGACGACGACGACGACGACGACGACGACGGCGACGACGGCGGCGGCGGCGGCGGCGGCGGCGGCGGCGGGTGGGCGCCTGCAGGTCCGCCGTGGGCGTCGACGGGCTCCTGCCGCCGCCCGGGCAGGGACGGGGGGGGGGGGCGAGGAGGGGGGCACGGAGGAAGGGAGCAAGAGCGAGGGGGAGGAGCAAGGGGGGCGTGGAGGACGGGGGGGGGCGAGGAGGGGGCGAGAAAGAGAAAAAAGGGCGGGGAGGAGGACGAGCGCACGGGGGGAGGACAAATGCGAAGGGGTTAGGCGAGGGGGGGAGGGAAAGCGAAGGGGGAGAGGGCGAGGCGAGAGGCAGGGGGGCCGGGCCCAGGCGTGCTCGCGTCGTGACGGGAAGCACGGCGGGAGGCGGCTGCCCATCTTTTCGGCCTCGGGGGGCCCTCGCGGGGCCCTGGCACCCTCAAAAGCTACTCGGGCTGAAAGGCCAGTCTTGAGGGAATGGGTCAGGACCCACGTCGTGGCAAACGCCCGACGTATTGGGAACAGGGGGAAGGAGGGGGGGAGGGGGGGGAGGGGGAGGAAGGGAGGGGGGAAGCTGTGATCCCGCCAGGCTGCGGTAGCGGGGGCCACCGAAACGTCCCATGGCCGTCACGTGCGCGCTCCGCCCGTGAGGCTCAGGGCCAGGGCGACGACGGGGACACGGACCAGTCGCCCTCCCCCGTGAAGTGAAGAGGGTGGCAAGGAGAGGGGAGGGTGCAAGGAGGCGGGGGGCAGGCGGCGCCGACAGAACACGACCGTTCGGCAGCCTGCCCGCCCTCGCCACCCCGCGTCGGCACGTTCCCTCTCTGTCCCAAGAGAAGGGGCGGACCAACGAGCGCCCCGCGCACCCTCCTCCCCAGCCGGGGCGTGGGAGGCGCACGGCCTCCCACGCCCCGGCGCCGCGCCACGCAAAGGCCTGGGCGGAGCACTCGAGCGCTGGCCCTGGCTGTCCCCGAACGAGGGGGGCGGGGCCCGACGATGCCGGACGGCGGCGGGCGGAGGGAGGCTGCCAGTGCCGAGGCGAGGTGTGGTGCAGTCGACAGTCGGACCTGATTGGACAGGGACACGCGAGAGGACACAAGACCCTTCCGGGGGCCACATTGCCATAGGAATGTAGTACACCCTGCGAAATGCTTCAGAAATCATGGGTTAAGAAATTCATAGTCTCAGAACTTGAATAAAAACCCAACATTTCTATCAAAATCGTGGGATTTACATTGAAAGCTTAAGAACAATCGAGACTCTGGACGAAAATTTAGGTTTTCTTAAGCATCGCCTACAGTGTACAGTCTGATCTGATTGGACAGGACACGCGAGAGGACACAAGACCCTTCCAGGGGCCACATTGCCACAGGAACGTAGTAGGCATGGGCCGCGAGACCCAGGACACAAGGGCACCCTTGAGCTGGCAAGGTCGACCTTCTAACCAGGGCCGACTGTAGTCGATCGCAGCCGAAGCGGCGATGGGTAGACCCCGTCCGACCCCAGGGGCCCTCCCCTGAGCGGCACATACAAGCGCCAGGCCGCGGACGAGCTCACACCTCGCGGCCGCCGCGGATCGCCTCGGGGGCCAGGGTGGCCCTGCGCCAGCGCCGCCACCGTCCCGAACGAGGCGTATCTGCCGGTTTCCCCTTGCTGTGGGTGGACGGTGGGAGAATACGCCATCGTGCCGCTGGGCACGGAGCGGGCATGTCCTCAGGCCCTCTGCCTACAGTCGGGACGTTGACCTAAGGAACCCTAAATAAGGAACGAAGCCCCTTTTTCCCATCAGTTAAAGTTCGATTCCCCATCGAAAACCTAAGGAAAACCTAAGGCAAGCTGTGAAACAATCAAGGAACACGGAGCCCCTCCACAACGAAAAGGGTTCCTTCTTCAGCACCCCGACTGTAATCCACGGAATCCCACTCCTCACCTCTGACGACTCTGCAAGGGGCACGGGCCCCTCGCTCTCCAATCTCCCGGGGCTTGACGCGTGCCCCCGTGGGGCCTGGCGAGTGCTCCCTGGGGCTTCCCGCGCGCCCCCCTGGGTTCCCCCTGCATCTTGTCGCGTGACTTCTCGGATCCACGAGGGCCCCAAGACGGGCCGAGGGAACCTCGAGAGGCCCCCCCAAGACGGTCCAAGAGGGCCCCGAGTCGCCGAACGATCGCTCCAAGACGCTCAAGATGGCCCCCAGACGGCCCAAGAGGCCCCCAAGAGACGCCTCAAGAGGCCTCCAAGAGGCCTCCCAAGAGGGCCCCAAGAGGCCAACATCACAGATTTGTTCCTCAGGTGGTTGAAGGATTTGGGCGTCCTCGCCGTTTCGGCTTCCAGACGGCTCTAGAACCCCCCAAGACAGCCCCAAGACGGCCCAAGACGGCCAAAAAGACCTCCAAGGTCCCCGAAACAGCCCAAGAGGGCCCCAAGACGGCCCAAGAAGTACCCAAAACAGCCCAAGAGGGCCCCAAAACGGACCTAAAGAGGCCCAAGAGAGGGAGCACGAACCGAAAATCCGAACCTCCCGCCCCAAGAGGCCCCCAGGAAGCCCCAAGAGGCGCCCAGGAAGCCCCGAGAGTCACCCAGGAGGCCCCCAAGAGGCCCCGAGAGGTCCCCAAGCGGCCCCAAAGAGGCCCCAAGAGGCCTCGAAACGGCCCCCAAGAGGCTCCCGAGAGGCCTCCCACGAGGTCCAATGAGCTTCACACCCCACAACCCAGACACGGTGGCGGGCCGACGGCCATAAGGTTAAATGCCACGGGCAAGACCCCCCCAGGGGCACGCGTTGCGCGGTTGACCCAAAATGGCCACGCCAAGGCTCAAGCTGCCCACCCCCCACGCCCCCCGCGCTCGACTCTGTCAGCTCCGCAAGCCCGTGCCCGGCCCAACCCAAATTCGGGGCAGGCGAAAGGAGGGGGGGGGGGGGGACGAGACCAGAGAGCTCTCAAGCTGTAGGCGCGCAGCTGTTCCTGCTTGGCTCCAGGACGGTGCGAGGAGGGGGGAAAAGAGGAAAGGAAGGAGGGGGAGGGGGAAGAGGGAGGGGGAGGAGGAAGAGGAAGGGGAAGGGGAAGAGGGAGGGGGAAGGGAGGGGGGGATGGAACGGAGGGAAGGATAAGGAAGGGGGAGGAGGGGAGGGAGGGGGTGATGCGGGGAGGGGGAAGGGTAAGAGACAGGGGGCGAGGCGGAGGAAGAGGGGAGGAGCGAAGAGGGGAGGAGCAGGAGGGGGAGAGGGGAGGGAGGCGGGGCACAAGCCAGTCTTAGGTCGGGTATTTCCCCCTACAGGCTGGTCCCGGACGAAAAATGAAAAATGACCCCAAAAAAAGAAATGATTTTTTACTATATAAGAAAAAAACTATACTGTGGTTGACTATGTTTGAAAATTCTTCCTGTAAACGGACATGCCCGACTCAAAGCTAGTCGCGCTCGCGCCATATCCAATGTCATACCCTTTCTTCCCATCCGGGTCCATTGCGTTGAGCCCCTCTCTGTTCGCGGAGTCGGGTGTCGGGAGAAACTTCGAGCTCGATAGGGCAACCTCCTCAAAGAGGACCGCAGCCCCCGGGAATATGGACGCAGGGGTACGGCAAACGCCGCGGCGAGAGCGTCGCTGCCCCGTTGGACAGAAGCCAGATGGACGTTCCCGAACTTTGAATAATTATCACGATGGATGCCGAGGCAGATATTGTCACATAATGCTCAAATCCCTCATTCCCCTCCTCCTCTTCCCCCTCCCCATTTTCATCGCCCCCATCCACCCATCCACCTTCTGCCCCTGCTCCTCCTCCCCCTCCGGCACCTCCTCCTCCTCCAATTCCTCCTCCTCCTCCTCCTCCTCCTCATCATCATCACCATCGTCATCATCACCACCACCTACCGGGACCAGCCACACCACCACCACCATCAATCATCATCATCATCATCAGTTCATCATCATCACAATCAATCCATATCATCATCAGCATCATCCATCATCATCATCATCATCTCATCATATCAATCATCATCATCAATCATCTCATCATATCCATCGATCATCATCACATCATCATCATCATCATCATCATCATCATCATCATCATCATCATCATTCACATCATCATCATCATCATCATCACTATCACATCAGCTCTCATCAATAATCATCATCATAATCATCAGCATCATCATCATCAATCATCATCCATCATCATCATCATCATCATCATATCATGCATCATCATCATTATCATCATATCATTAATCATAACAATACATCATCATATCTATCATCAAATCATCCTCATATATCATCAGCATCATCATCCATTCATATCATCCTCATCAGCAGCAGCTCCGCAGCGTCAGTCGGGTCCCATCATCATCATCAATCCTCACGACATCACCCCACACAGAACCACCAACACCATCATCATCATCTCATCATCATCATCATCATCATCATCATATCTCGTCACCAAACCACCTCATCACCACCTCATCCCCTCATCCATCAGCAGCAATCGTCATGTAACACCGTCTACATCGTTCCGCCTCGTCATCGACATCGTCATCATCATCATCATCATCATTCATCATCAACATTATCATCACATCATCATCACATCTCATCAATCATCATCATTAATCGATCATACATCATCATCAGCATCATCATCATCATCACCATCATCATCAGCATTATCGTCATAATCATTGTCATCATCATCGTCATCATCATCACTATCATCACCAGCATCACCATCATCACCATCATGATCACCATCGCCATCATCATCGTCATCATCAAGATCATCATGATCATCATAATCATCATAATCATCATGATAATCATCATAATCAGCAACATCATCATCATCACCATCATCATGATCATCAGCATCATCATCCTCATCATCCTCGTCATCATCATCATCATCATCATCATCATCATCATCATCATGATCAGCATCATCATCACCATCATCATCATCATCCTCATCATCCTCATCATCATCACCATTATCATCATCCTTACCATCATCATCATCATCATCATCATCACCACCACCACCATCATCATCATCACCACCACAATCACCTCCACCATCATCATCATCGTCATCATCGTCATCATCA